TTTGATGATTTGTTATACAGATCAAGACTGTACAAGGCATACAAAACTGCCTTTTTTTTTTGCAGATGCTAAATCTTTGAAAAAAGAGCATTTCTGAAAGCTGCTTGACAGTCAATGGTTACAAATTCACTTTCAATCTAGAAACAAATGCCTTGCAGAAGATTAATAAGTTTTTGACAAATTCAGCCAAAAGGGTTAATTGGAACAAATGCTAAAGAGAGGGATAAAGTGCTCATAGTTTCATATTAAATACTTATATAATAATTTAAATATCTAATTACATTTAAAAATAGCTGAATTATTTCATTTATTTTAATATCATCTACTATAAATTAATACAGAATATCTAAGATTAAAGTTACCTTCTTTTAACATGCCCATTTTCAAACATTTTTGAAATCTACAAGCTTGACATGCTTTTCTCCTCCTCTTATTGATTTCACAATCATTAGAGGCTGGACAGGTATACTCAATATTTCCTAAAATTAAAAAAATTTTAAGACATGTTTAATTAATTAATTAATTAATAATTTAAGTTATTTTTGAAAGTACTTTATATAAGCACAGATCAAATATCAATTTTTAGTTTAAATCTTTGAAATAAATTAAAATTAAATTGATTATAATATATTACTTAATAATATATGAATTATAATTTATTAGGACTCTAACAACTATGTTTGTGATTTAAGAAGGAATTTGGTATTTAAGTACAGTTACTTTCAAAATAATTTAATATACTGAAATCTCTAAAATAATTTATCATCATAAATATTTTATAATAATATATTATGTGAAGAAATTACAAAGTTTAATACAAATACAAAATGAAATATTTGCATTACAGAATTAAATAATATTTAGAATTGTGTTTCCAGGATATCTGATATTCATGAGAATACAATTCTGAAATATGCATTCTACTCAAATATAAATATAACTTCTACCTTAATGAAATAAAGAACAAAGAAAATTGATAATAATAAAGATCTAGGCAATAAATGCATGAATGCTATAATTTGTTTATTGTATTCAATATTATTGGGTTGTTCGGAAAGTAATTTTGTTTTTTTACTACTAGACAGATTAGTCGTATTTTTCCCACCATTTTCATTCTAAATCGTATTATCATTATATATTTTGACAGCTAGCATTTTAAGGCTTATTTGTAAAATATTTTGTTTGATTTTGTGCAATTGCTTATTTTTTGTGTCCCATCAAATATGGAAGATCAAAAGCAGCATTTTTGGCATATTTTGCTCTTTTATTACCAAAAAGGTAAGAATGCTGTTCAAGCGAGAAAAAAATTATGTGACATGTATGGAGAAGATGTATTGACAGAACGACAGTGCCAAAACTGGTTTACAAAATTTCATTCTGGCAATTTCAATATTGAAGATGCACCATGTTCTGGATGGCCAGTTGAAGCCAATGAAAACAAAATAAAAGTACAAAATAAACTGCCAAATAACAACATGTGAAATCACTAAGAGATTAAATATGTCAAATTGAACTGTTTATGATTACTTGAAACAAATTGGTTTCGTTTCAAAGCTTGATATATGGGTTCTACATGTTCTTAAAGAGAGATGCTCTCTTTGGTGGGATTTTAAGGAAATTTTTTTTTGGAGCTTTTA